TATGGCGGCGGAATGGGCGGTTACGGCATGGGCGGCGTGCCGCCGCCCGGCTTTGATCCCTCGCAGGGGCCACCGACCCCGCCGAGCGCGTGGCAGGCCGCGCTCGTCGCGATCGGCGGCGTGGTGCACTTTTTTGGGCGCCTGTCGTTCCTGGTGGACGAGAACGCGCACGCGGTGCACTTCTTCGTGTCCGCGCTGCTGCAGCTGCTGGACCGCTTTGGCAGCCTTTACGGCGAGCTCGCTCGGTTCATACTGCGGGTGGTGTTCCGCCGCAAGCGGCCTCCCAAGGCGATGCCCGCACCGCCGGGCGTGGCAGGCCAGCCGCCACGGCCGGGGGCGGGTATGCTTGGTACGCCGGGGCCTTTCGGGCCGGGGGCTGGGTACATGTCGCAGCGAAGCGCCGCGGCAAACGCGGGCGGCATGGGCGCTGCCTGGCAGCCGCCAGCGCTGCCGCCGCCAGGGAGCGGTAGCGTGCTTGACGTGCCGGCGGGCCACTGGGACTCGCTGTGGGACGAGTGAGCTTGTCAGCGGCAGTCTTTTATCGCCTTGCCCTCGGCTGTATATCAAATAGCGCAGTTGTTTCCGTTGATTTTCTGCCACGTCCCATCCCGCAGCGGCCCCGCCCATGCCCGTCGCTCCATGCACGCCCCCTTGGTCTTCTCCCAGCCTCTTGTGTAATCTCTTCAATCCGACAGGGACTTTAGTAGCTTCATGACCAGAGTATGTGGGGCTTTGAGGTCTGCTTTGCACACTTGAGACAGTTGCTGGTCGTGTCGCCAGGTGGTTCCACAGTCCTAACTTCCGTTCGCAAGAGACCACACTGTGAGGTCGTTGAGGAGTTGGTTGAGTTCTCTACACTTTACGTGTCTCTGTACTGTAATACAGTAGAGTCGTGTGCAAGGCACCGCAAGATCGCCGAACCACCCGGCGCGGGCGACTCGTTGCTGCCACCACAGTATTGTCGACAACTTGGTATTGTTGAGACGTCACAGTCACCCTGTGGCGGACACGTACCGTCAGCATTTTGCGGACCAGGACAACTTGCAATGGCGATGCAGAGCCGCAGCAGCGACGCAACTTCACCCGACACAGCAGCAGACTGTACAAGCAGCCTGCCTGATGAGGAAGCCAGGGCAGCACCCGCAGCAGAGGCGGTTACATCAATTGCCACAATTGAGCCGTCACAGCCCCCTGCAGTGCACGAGAGCACTGCACCAGCAGCGGCAGCTGCGGCAGTTCTGATCAGCACCAGCGGCAGCAGCAGCAGCGCTAGTAGCAGGACCACCACCAATACCCACACTGGCACAAACGCCACCAGCAGCAGCAGCATTGCAGCCCCACATGATCTTCAACCAAGGGCCGTGAGCGCAAACCAATTTGCTGGCGGTGGTGCCAGGCCTGCAGCTGCAACTACAGCAGCAGCAGAGGCGGCGAATGTTGCTCCGCCAGCAAGCAGCACAATCAGCGCTGCAGGACCCTTTCACCCAGAGCCCGCTTCTTCAACAGCCGCAACACCACAAGTGCCTGCGGTTGCAGGCGGCGCTGATGACGCTGACGACGAGTTTGGAGATTTCGGCGATGCAGATGCGTTTGGTGATTTTGGCGAGGCCGCGCCGGCGCCGCCCCCGCCGCCACCTAGGCCCACAGCTTCTGCACCTGCGCCCACACCATTAAGCGCCACGGAGCGTGCGGCTGGCGCGCAGCCGGCGGTTGTGGGGGCGGCGGCGGTAGGGCAGCAGGAGCAGCAGCAGCAGCAGCAGCAGCAGCAGCAGCAGCAGCAGCAGCAAGTGCAGGGCCCTGATTTCTCGCAGCTGGAGGGGCAGGCGTACCTGAACGCAGTGCTGGACGCGTGGGAGGTGCGCACACAACGGGGCCTCGTGCACTTCACCGAGCCTGCTGGGTTTGGGCCTCTCGTTCCCAGACGGCCGCCGTCCACGCTCCTGCTGCCTGTGCACCTTGCTGGACGCCTTGGGTGGGCATCCAGCGCCCCAAGCACGGCGCTCTTTAGCTCTGGCTCGTGGGCCCTTGTCGCGCCTGAGTCTGCTCGCCTTCCAGCCGCCCACCTGCCACCCTTGATATCGACATCTGCCCCAAGACCTGATTCAATTGTCGTTGCCCGCTGCCTGTCACCTGCACGCAGGTCCTGGGCGCTAGGCGCGAGTTTGAAACCGCGGCTGCAGCATTTGCAGAGGGCGCTGTCCGGGCTGGCGGCATGCCGGGCTGGCGTAGCAGCGGGGTTGCCCCTGACACCATTCTGGCGTGCAACGGGCTGCCAATCTCCGCAGAAGTCTCTGGTTCCCTGCAGCGAGCTGGCAGCGGCGGCTCTGGCTTCCAGCCGTGCGTGACGTGTTCTTACAGCTTGGAGTGGCGCGGCACGCCACTGGAGGCACGGCTGGTGGAGTCGCTGGGCCTGGGGGGCGCGAGGGGCGCGTAACGTCCGGGGCTGCGGACCATCCTACTGCTGCCTGGTAACCCACAGCAGTTGGACGGCTTGCCCGGTGAATCAGTAGCGTATCAAGGAGCCTAGTGGACACCAGTGACCGCAGGAATTGCAGGACACATGATGTGATGCTCTGTTCGTGTAGGAAAGCGAGCATGTGGGTTCACAGGCACAGGCAGAACACACGTGCAGGCGCCCGGCAGCAGAGCACCAGGCGCGCGCCATGATTGCAAAGCCCATGGTCTCACAGCTGGCACCCCACCTTGATGCGAGATGCGTTTATCCTATGAGAGATTGATTCAGCGAAATCAGTAAGAGACAACCGACGCAATCGATCGATCTGCTTTTACACGTCTGATCGCACCGTCAGTCACTTTTACCACGCTCACAAGGGCACGAGACGTGACCAGTGGCGATCATCATACGCTCTAGCTGTGACGTACAGGAAACACTTTCCATCACACGCGCAGCGGGAGCGCCGCCTCGACCCTGCTAGTGCGTGTCTGTGGCGGCACTGCTCTGCAGTTGTTGCCGGCAGGGTACACAAACGGTGGCCTTGTACCAACGATATTGTGAAGGCACCTTGACGAGTCAGCAGCAGCGGCCCCAGCCGCGGGCGGCTGCCTGCCTGCGCGGCAGATGGCATCCGGCGTGCTGACATTTGTGATTGTGGGGCAGCAGGATCACCCCATCTACGAGGTGGACTTGACAGGACCAAAAGAGGTGCGCAGGACAGAAACAGTGCATCATATCCCGCGCGGAAGCTGTACGAGATAATCAGCGAGCACCGCAAGGCGCGCGTACACCACCGTGGCTTGTGCCCCCCATCCATCGGGTTGTGTGCGCCGTCCCACGCCGCGCCGCGCAGCAACAAGCGCAGTACCTGCACCAGTTTGTGCTCCATGCGGCGCTGGATGCGGTGGACGAGGCCATGTGGGGTACCAAGGAGCTGCACCTCAAGGTGTGATGTTCGTGCGTGCATGTGTGCAAGCGTGCGCGAGCGCGCGTGTCCGCAACTAAGCGCGTTTGCGAGGATGAGACATATGCACATTTCAACGTGCTTATGTGTATGGGCGAGGGTGTGTGAGGGAGAGGGCAAGAGAGACGTTGTGGTTTGTGTGTGTGTGTATATGTGTGTGTGTGTATATGTGTGTGTGTGTTTGTGTGTGTGTGTGTGTTTGTGTGTGTGTGTGTGCATGTGAGCGTGTGCATGTGCACGCACACGAACACATGAGTGCTTGAGAGCTGGGAGCACCGTCACGCAGTGCCCAGCTCGCTCCTAATGCACGCGATGTGGCCAGAGGATGCCTGAAAGGTGGCCCCCACCGCAATGCCCGTGCTTGCGACTGCATGTGAACTTGTGCACACGCAGCCGCGTTGCTGCCTGACCGTGGCTCGGCCTGGACCCCCCACATATTCCTCCTTGAACTCAACAACCCCTCACGGCGTATAACCACACTACCATCCAACGTCCAGACTGTGGACCGCTTCAACAACCTGCTGGTCAGCGCGTTTGTGACGCCGGGAGGCGCGCGCCTGCTGCTGCTGCACGACGGCCGCGGGGACGACGTGGTGCGCGCCTTCTTCACAGATGTGTACGAGCTCTACCTCAGGGTGGGCCGCGGGGTGGGGGTGGGGGCGGGGCTGGCTGATACGACGCCGCAGCCTGCGCGGCTGCCGCTGCATGTGTGGGCCGTTGGGCGGGGCGAGTGGACTGCGGGGTGCCGCGCGGGCTGCAGGCAGTCGAGAGGGCTGGGCACAGGGGTGCACGCAGTCTTGCAGGTCAAACAGCGTGAGTGGTTGGTGCGAAAGGGGCCGCTGCGTAGGCCCATGGAGCACCACAGACAAAGTTACTGGGCATGTGGCTGTGGGGAGCATGCAGGGCAAAAAGTGCAGCCATGTCAATGCAATGTAGCAGCTGCCTTTGGTGGCTGTCGAGGTCAGGGCGGCGGGGCAATTTCAGAAGCGCAGGTGGTGTGTGGGGTTGTGGCGTTGTGATGGCACGGGTGGTGGGGATGCGAGTGACGAGATCTTTGGAAGGGATCAGGAGATCGTTGGGCAGGCAGAGGGTGGGGAACATGGGGCATAGACCGCAGCACACGGCTGCCGTCGCTGCCCTGGCTGGCAAATCCGAGATCAAACTACGAACAACATCCAGGACATCAGCTTTTGCCATCCGGCCACGTCCGCAGCTCGCCCCGCGCATGTGGCCCCGCCAGTGACTGCACCTGACCGCAATCCCGCCAAATCCTGGGTACAGTGCATCGCACCTTCTGACACCGCGTACATCGCTGCATACGTCGCAGGTCATGCTCAACCCATTCCATACGCCCTGTACAAAAATTGTGTCCAAGACTTTTGACCAGAGAGTCCGCCTGCTCGCCAAGCGCACCTTGGGTTGACCTCCGACGCAGCGTGAAGTCGGTGCACCATCAAGCGGCGTTCGCAGCGCGCGGGCCGCTGCCTACCATATTTTATTGTAAACTATTCGCAGTCTTCGTTGGTATCCCGCATTCTGATTCGCCGGCCCATCAGCACCGCTGAACCCGACGGTCGATTTGCGTGAGACGCGATCTTGGGCAACGGGTGCGCTTTGTGCCCCGGCGTGGCGAGCTGACTCGAGAGGAAGCAATCATCAGCTCAAGTTTCACAGTGCATCACTTCGTGGGCCCAGCAAGGCGTGCGAATTGCCAGTGGCCCTGGTTGAGGCGCCTGAGAGCATAAGCGCCCAGTAGACGCGCCACTGATTAATTGACATTGAAACTTATACACTGGCCAATCAGCTCGCCGCCCGCACGTGCGCTGCCCGCCGAGGCAGCGCACTGGCAGCGGCGGCAGCGCGCCCGGGGCCGCCCAAGCATATCTTGCGTCCCGCGGCGCAGCCTTCGCCAATCAGTGGATCGACGCAGTAGCAGGAGGCGGCGGAGGCGGTGCCCAGGCGGGGCAGCCGCGCGTCGGCGGCGCCATGCCGCTGGCGCAGTGCCTGAGTGCGGCGCAGGAGCTGTCGTGGGATGCAATGCAGCACGCCCTGTCCGTCATCAACGAGGGCATCGCGGTCGCCGACCCCTCGCAACCAGACGCGCCGATGGTGCGGCCCTGCTCAGCCAGCCCGCCCGCCCGCCCGCCCGCGCCGCTGCTCGAGCGGACGGGAACCGCTGGGCGGGCCCGCTACCGCGGCGTACCGAGCTCGGGGCCGCACCACGCGCGCCCTCGACCCGCCTGCCGGCGGCGCAGGCCGTGCCCAGCAGCTGACGGCGCCCCTGCCGCTGCCGCCCCCCGCTGTGTGTGCCCGCGCAGGTTTACGTAAATGATGCATTCCTCCGCCTGACGGGGTACACCCGCGAGGAGTGCATCGGCCGCAACTGCCGCTTCCTGCAGGCGAGCCCCCGCAGGCGCACATACGCGCGCGCGCGCGCAGCCGGCGACAGCGCGGCGCCCGGGCCCAGCCCCGTCCCGCCCCGCGCCCGGCAAATGCCCTGCTTCATGCGCGTGCGCACACACACACACACACACACACACACACACACACACACACAAAGACACACACACACACACACACAAAGACACACACACACACACACACACACGTGTCAACACACTCGTACACACAGGCACATACACATTCTCTCTCACTCTCTCTCGCACGCGCACCCAATCCCAGGGCGCCGGCACCGAGGGCCCCGCCCTCGCCCGGCTGCGGTCGGCGCTGGCGGCCCGCGAGGACTGCCAGGTGGAACTCCTCAACTACCGCAAAGGCGGGACGCCCTTTTGGAATCTCCTGTCAATCACGCACGTCTGGGCGCAGCCCGGCGACGAGGGCGACGACGGCGGCGCCGGCGCCGGCGGCGCAGCGGCGGCGTCCAGCGGCGGGGGCCGGCGGCTGCGCTGCCTGATTGGCGTGCAGTCTGACGTGTCAGACCTGGCGCGCAAGGCGCAGGCCGCGCAAGCGGCGCGCAACAGGTTCATCGCCAACATGAGCCACGAGCTGCGCACGCCCCTCAACGGCATCCTCGCCACGGCGCAGTGAGCACGCGGGCCCCCAGCCCCGTCCCCCCCTTTCGGCGCCGCCGCGCCGCGCCGTGCCGTCCTCGGCCCCGGCAAGCCTTGCGCCCCCCGCTCGCCCGCGCCGCCGGAGGCCCGCGCGCCACCCGCGGCCGCGGACCCCTCCTGCCTCCACTCGGCCCACCCTCAATTCCTCGCCGCCGCCCGCCTCCCTCCGCGCCCCCGCCTTGGCCGTCGCGCCCCTCGAAGGCTGCTGCTGACGTCACAGCTGTCCCCTGAGCAGCGTGAGCTGGCGGATACTATCCTTGACAGCAGCCTGTCGCTGCTGGGCACGCTGGGGGACATCCTCGACTTCAGCCTGCTGGAGGCCGCACCAGAGGTGGGGATTTTGTGTGTGTGGATGTGTGTGTGTGTGTGTGTGTGTGTGTGTGTGTGTGTGTGTGTGTGTGTGCGCGTGCGTGCGTGCGCGCGCGCACGTGTGTGCATGTGTGCGTGTGCGTGCGTGTGCGCCCGCGCGTGCTTTCGCGCATGTGCACCCTCGTGCGTGTGCGTGTGTTGAGTGTACATGTCTGCGCCGGTTGCAAACGCTCAACACTGCGTTCGCGCATGCCGGACGATTCGTGCGTCCTCGTCCCAAGAGCGTTCAGGAAGCAGCGCCCGCCGCACATCCCAACCTCCACCCTCTTTGCCGCCCGCTGCCCCAGAGCGACGGCTTGGCGCTGCGCCACGAGCCCGTGTGCCTGCAGCAGGCCCTGGAGGGCGTCGCGGAGATGGTGGCCCCCGCGGCCGCGTCAAAGGGCCTCGAGCTGGCCTTCCTGATAGACCCCGCGGTGCTGGCGCGCGGGCCCCACTTCTGGGGCGACGCGACGCGCCTGCGGCAGGTGCGGGGGGCGGGGG